CCATCCATCCATCCATCCATCCATCCATCCATCCATCCATCCATCCATCCACTGTACATTACATTTGCTACTACCAAGAGGATTTACTGAGCGTGCATACTGGGAAAAATTTTTAACCTGTCTCAACAAAACGTTTTTCTTGTATTGTGTCTCACTTTCCTTATGTTTATCTGTTGCTCCTTCATTAGGTTTCTCTATACAAGAGCTCATACTCAAATATGAGTTGAAGTTATCTTTTGGTTAATACTACCTAAATGTTTTTTTTTTCCTTTTAACAGGAAAAGCTTGTTCAAAGCCAACAATTGAAAATGGATTTGTAGTTGGACCTTTTGGAGAAGTAGCATACTACTCCTGTGACGAAAACTATAAGCTTTATACCAAAGGCTGGTGGGATGAGGTCAAATGCACTGACAATGTGTGGTCTCCACCCCAAAAATGTATAGGTAATTTATGTTTTTTCTTATCTATTTTTGTGGATATAGCACATTATTTCGTACTTTATGGGTATTTGGATATTTCGATTGTCAAATATATCCAAATATACATATGTGCTCATATTTTTTAATGAACATAAAGCAGATTAAACAATGAAATCACTGTTGGCAATAACTTTTTTTTTTTTACCAATAACTCTTTGTTAAATAGACCAGAAGATAAGTGAGCTAAACATCATGTGTACCATAATGGTTTTTAAACTTGTCCTCTAGGAAAAAACATGTGTGGAGAACCTCCTGTTATTCCAAATTCACGACCAACCCTGAGTGAAGATGGCCAAAACTTGAACATTGTTTGTAATCCAGGATACACGCCATCAATTAGGAGCCTGACATGCAGCAAAGGAAATTGGAATTTAGGTGGAATTCTACCCAAAGAAATCTGTACCTGTAGGTCACCATTATTATTTTGAAACTTGTAAGTATTAATGTAAACAATAGACACAAAAAGTAATACTGTGCATGTTGTCATTACATTGCAGCTGACAGGTCTAACTGCGGTCCACCACCTAAAATCTCTAATACAGTTGTCAAGATGCCATATCAAAAGGAATTTCCATCTGGCAGCAGTGTAACCTACATGTGCCGTGATCATTACGAATTGATCACAGCAGGACACCCTACACTGACATGCAATGCTGGAGAATGGGAGCAGAAGATTATTAAATGCGTTGGTAAGTAGATGAAGTAATTCACAGAGTTAGGATCGAAGAATTTGACAGCTTTGGATCCTTAAAAATGTATTGCAACTAGTATTAATAACTTTGACTTAATTTATTTATTTACAGACAATAATTACAGACATACTGACCACATCCTGTGTCTTTCTGTATATTTTCAGCTTACTGTGACAAGCTCGAGGACAAGACCCTGACAACAAAAGAAACAAAAGAGCGATATGAGGATGGTGAAGATGTTCAGTATCAATGCAAAAGTTGTGAAAATACTGAAGGAACTGCAATATGCAAAAATGGCAAGTGGGAAAAATCGGTGGATTGTGAAGGTAAGGAGAATTGTGAATTGTGAAATGAGCTGCAATAATTTACAGTCCAGATCATACAATTCAGTAGCACTGAGTGCACACATTTCTGAAATATTTATTCAGTTTACTGATAAAGTGTCGGGGGATACAAGGACAAATTCTGAGGCAGATTTAAAAAAAACGTTCCTGACAATTAACTACTAACTTGAGTAACTGATAATTAGCTATACCCTAATTTAATCTTAAATGAATATTTTTTACAAATACAAATTGTTTTAGTAATGGAATTGATGGTTTCTGTGTTAATCTGGAAACTTAAACGTGCTAACAATCTCTGAAGTGTACAATATGCAAGAAGTTAACATGAGTAGTTATCTCTACGTTTAGGGCCACATCTGCTCTAAGCAGGTACTGATTTTTTTATTTCTTTATAGTTTACAGTTATAGTCCTTCACAATAAAAATCATCATAAAAAGGGGGCCCCCTCTTAACTTAGTGTCATCCACAAAAGTACCATTCAACTGAGAAGTACAAAAAAACAAGGTGCAAAAAACAAGTCCAATACAAATATAGGTGACAAAAAGAAATTTTAGTGGTAACTGACAGTCTTTTCTGTGTATTTCTTTCAAGCTCCCTGCGAGACACAAGACGGTAAACAGACCACAGGTAATGACCACCACATGAATGATTAAGTCAACAAGTGTTGGTGCTCTGGAGCTTCTGCCTTGTGCTAAAAATCCTTCCAAACCTTGGGTGCAGCAGAGAGCACGGGTTGACGCTATTCTAATTCAAACTGTCAGAATGCCCTCTTACACACATACACACATGCTTTACACATAAGACCAGCAAATGGATGCAGTATACAGTGCAGGCTTATGATCCATATTTTCAAGTATTGCTATGAAGTACAAAACAGTTTAACTAGAAGATAAACTACACTTTTTAGGTTGTTGTTGTGGTTCTTTAGAGGAGTCCCCATTTATTAACTAATGGGTCACTATGGTTGAATCTAAGACTACTCTATGGAAGATGCGTAGTTTAAAAGTGTAACATGTTAATCAGACATTTTAATAATAGAGGAATGTGTAAGACAGGTTTACGTTGAAATTTACATTTTGAATATTGTGACTATATCAATCAGTGTAAAGACAACTGTCTAACATGGTCCCGAATCATCACACTATCTGGGAAAAATCCAAACTACAGAAAAATTTTAAAAGATATTTCCACAAAGGTAAAAAGTGAAAATGTTGAGTAAATCTTCCTTATGGTTGTTGTGAAAATGTTCTAAATATAAGTAAAAGATATTTAGTTTGATGTCAATATTCCATTTTTGTAGGTTCCGATTGTTCAAGTCCACCTTTGCTGGACAATGGAGACATCAAAGATTCTCTTAAACAAAAATACAAACATGATGAAAAAGTTGAGTACGTGTGTCAGGCCTGGCACATAATGGAGGGTGGACCATTCAGAAAATGCGTGGATGGTGAATGGACTGGAGAGATTACATGTCTCAGTAAGTTTCCATGAAGTTCATATTTGTTAGTCACTAAGGATTTGTTTCCCTACTTTTTAAAAAAAATATTTCTTTAAATAAAGTCAATATTTGACTCTAAACTACTGGTGAAAATTTAATATATTATGGTTTGTTCTGGTGTGATTTTAGCTTAAGCTTCCATTTTTCTTTTGAATATTGTTAAATAGTTACACATTTTAACAAACTCTCGGAATCCTTTTAGGGGTCCAAAAACCTCAATGAAGTTATGTTTTCTTTCTTTAATAAATATATTGTGTATAATCCATATAAATCCATAAAAAAATGTATCTAAAACATAAACAAAAACAAACTTAAATCTGGTTTAAATTGTTAAAGAATTATTTAAGATGGATTTTGAGTTTAATGTCAAGTTCCTGATTTATCTGAATAGGAATTCAAAGTGAGAGATTTAAGCAATGATTCATTTATGTATCAGTCAGTATTTCTTTCTTATATATAATTACAAATAGGAACAGCTGTGATGTTTTTCACTGATAAAACCATTATTTCTATATAATTTTTCAGGACCCTGCACCGTGAATGAAGACGACATGAAAGCAAATAATATTCAACTGATACGTGGAGAGGGTAAAATATATTCAGAACATGGTGATCATATCACATTTGAATGTACAGGAAGAAAATCCCGTGTGGGCTCAGTGGCATTCCGTCAGATGTGTAAGGATGGTGTAATAACTCTGCCCAGATGTGAGTGAGAGTTCTGTTGAGCCCAGTTTAATCCCCGCATGCTGACATACGAATGATTAACGAGAGTAAAGTGTTGTGTGATTCAGGCCTGCGAGCTGTCATGAAAACATGCACACTGAGTCCTTTAGCTCGATGTGTTTGATGAATCATGTTTAATTTCACATCAAATCTCACCAAAAAAACTGCTTGATAATCAGAATCTTTGTTGAACTCCTTGTGCAAGTTCTTTAAATGATCCTCAGCCTACTTTTTTCCTTTGAGAATGTGGTCGTTACACAGTGACACAAACCACAAGCTGCGTTTGTTTTTGATTTTGATTTGGGAACTTTTCAAGTCAAAGATCACATTCTAAGAACATCCAATATAGTTTATCTATCATATCAGCTAAAAAAACTTCCATAGCTGGGAACTAAAGAGTGTGGATTTTCTGTATTCAGTGTTATATTACGATTCCCTTTTTAATCAATTACTTCTCTGTTTTCAAATGAAAAACTTTCCAGAATGCTTGGCAAAAGTGTTTTGATTGTAAAACTTCCTGCTATATTACTGACATGATTTTTGCTGTGAAATTTATAATAAAAATGTCAACATGGCACATACTCTCTTTATTAAAAACTGTGATATACCCATCTGTGATTTTCTGTCATTCCATTGGTAAGAAAGGTCCTGCTCACTCTTATTTTTAGTGAACCTTTGGCTTCAAGTCCCAACATCCTACTTATTCTTCACCACAGTATTACGGTGGATATACTACAACCCTGGATTGTGAATAAAGACATATTCATTTCCGATATGATTACCTCACTTAATTTTTTTTCATTGAATGCCGAAAAAAGGGGTTGAAGGCAAAAGCAAATGTTTGAATATTTAGATTTTTTATTCACTTTCTTGTGAAGTCTTTTAGTGAATTAAATGACAAAAGGGCATCCGACATGTGTTTGTCTGTGAGCCTAAAAAGAAAAATATTATCTTGGTGGTTAAAACTCTTCGATACAGATTCATTTACAGATCAAGGTATCTTCAAAATGTCCAATATATTTGTTATTGTATACCTGCTGGGTAGAGTTCTTTTCCGAACGACTATACCTGATACTGTACAGGCTTTTGATTTTCTATAAATCCTGCTTCAACATTACAGGCAGCAAAATATTGATTGGTGTTACTCAGAGCAAACGTTAAGGAAACAAGAGCAAAGTACATTTTGAAGGCTGAGCTGGATTTTATCACCTGTTTTTATTTGATTTATATGGATTTGAGTCAACACAGACAGCAAATGAACATGTCTCAATATTTTGCATACTTGAGCTTTTTAAGAATGCCATAATCTTATTGAGTATCCCAAATTAATTAATTCCAACCTCCAGAGGATGTTCTTATGCATCAGCAAGGGTAATCTCTCCACCCCCGCATCTTGAGGGTTTATTAGATAGGTCAGATTTCTTTGACAAACTATCGATGCATTTAGCTAATGCATGCACATGTAGCACATTTAGATATATTTTTATGTCCAGTTAAAATCAAATTGAGACAAAATCTCAAAACCCTGGTGATCTTGTGTCTTTCAGACTAAAGTTGAAAAGTCACATTTGTGAGTACTCTTGTAATATCTGACGTGTCTGTGATCCCAGCCATCAGTCCATGTTTGCACTCCATGTGTCCCTGGAGTTCTTAAATGGGGCACACAACATTACTTTTCATCAGAGAATTATTTTTCAAGACAAGATGAAACTGTGGTTATTGTTTTTGTTTCTCCAACTCTGGGAGAAACTAGGAGTTTCTTCTCAGAATGTTGAGATGAACTCTTCTTTTTTCATTTGTCAGACGTTTTGAAGCACGGTGTTACTTTCATATAGATTTTATCAAAATTAAATTCCATGGTAAATATGAAATATTTTGAAGTTATGATTTCAAATATATTCATGGTTTAAGTTTACTGTTTTTAAGAAATGAAAGAAAAAACAGTACCTTTTTGTACTTTTTGTCTCTGTTGTTGTATTAACATGTCTTGAAAGCAAAGTTTTTCCAATTGATATTTTCTTATTTTTACATATCCTTACTACATCAGAAAAAAACACTGGCTCAGATGATAAATATTATGTTGTATTTCATATGGTTGAACTATTAAAAATACTTGGCTAATTAGATATTTTATCCAAATGTATTTATTTTAGGACTGAGGCTGTCATATTTATGCTTTAGTTTTTTCTCTTTTTTTATGTGAAGACAAGATTAAATAGTTTCACTGTATTAACTGTATTATATTTAAAATGTGTAATTACTCTGAAAATTGATCTCATGCCAGCCACTGACATTGATGATGTTTTTTATTTTGATTTTGTGGGGAACATATTATAAATGTTTATTATAGATGTTTTCTATGTGTTATATCTCTGCATATTCTAATGCCATCCATCCATCCATCCATCCATCCATCCATTTTCTGAACCGCTTATTCCCAAATGGGACTGGACCCTATCTCAGTAGTCAGTGGGCTAGAGGCAGGGTACACCCTGGACGGTCCGCCAGTACATCGCAGGGCCACACATATAGACACACAATGACAAACAACAACGCACACTCATTCCTAAGGGAAATATAAAATGTCCAATCAACCTAAAATGCAGGTTTTTAGATGTTGGGAGGAAGCCGGAGAACCCAGAGACAACCCACGCATAGGGAGAACATGCAAACTCCACATAGAAAGGTCCTGGATGCCCCGAATAACCCTCTTACTGGGAGGTGATGGTGCTAACCACCACACCATCATGCTGCCCTACATATTTTAATGTGTCCTAGTTAATATGCCTACACCTACATCCCCCTTGTGGCTGTATCAGCCACCGTGCATGCCTCACAGATTCTCCAAGACAAGGGGTTGTTGTAAGACTTTTATTTCCTGCGCGGTCATTCACTCACACAAACACACACACACACACACACACACAGCGTTATGCTTGGTTATGCTCAGGTATTTCGTTGTTCGGTGGTTCAGTGGCTGGATCCTGGTCAGGGGTCCTTCCTTTTCCAGGTCCAGCACGCTACTGTCTTTAAACCAGGGGAGAGTGATTAGCCAACTGATTCCATGCGTGCTAATGACTTCCCCTGGCACTGCTCCCCTGAGCCTGCCCCACACCTCCCCTCCTGCAGCTCAGCACCAAGCCCCCGCCAAACCCCTAAGGATTCCATCTTTATTTCCTAAAATCAAACTGATTTTAGGAATAATAATAAACAATAAGTTAATCCTAGACGTTTTTTGTCTTTTCAGATTAGGTTAACTAGTTATATCTGCCAATAATAACATAAAAGTCCTTCACCTTTGTTAAAGGTTTTTGGACAAAGCTTAGAAACCCCAGATAACCCCACCAGTTCACTTCCCCTCTTCGCAAATGGACATTTATGATTCTTATTATCTACAGGAGTCATTGGGCCGGTTGTCACTAGCCTCTTTGCTTCGTGCAATCTAATACACGAAACAAACACATGAAAGCTGTTTTCACACATTCAACATTATCCTGAAATGTTCCTGATAAATTATGATACGGGTGGCATGTGAACACACATCACGGTATATCAGCCCCCCTGAGAGTCTGGATGTATATCAATCAGAAGAATCGAACTCAGCAGCAACTCTGACAGCAACATAGACATACTACATGTTGGTTAGGGATGCTGCGTTATGTTTGCTGCAGATCGGGCACATGTACAGAGGAAAATTCCCAAACACGTGGTGTTGATATTAGCACAACCAATGAAGTTTAAAGTTCATCTGAAAAATGGGCCATGCTAAGGGACGACGAGTCTAAGCACTCCAAAAAAAAAAAGGCTGATAGAGAATTGAATAACTGTATTGCAGTGCCCAATTTAGAATTCTAGCCTTAAAATGCTCAAAACAGCAAAGTACGTCCCCAAAGTTGTGAGACTGGTAACAATTATTTTTCTTTTTTCTCACTTCAAATTATTGTTTCTGAAAGGTGGTTTTTATAGTTATCAAACACCAACTGGCCGCATTGGTTTTCCGTACCCTTTCTTTGTATCTTGGTTTGGTGAAAGAAAATAAACAATATATTTCGTCTGACTACAAAAATGGACATTCCCACTGGCCAACGACAAAGATATTACACTATATTTATTTTAAAGATACATTTGAAAACAGCCAAACTAAGACTTAAAAGCCACATCTGCTGATTTTGCTCTGAATTTAGCAGCTGCAATCATAAGTGGTGTCAGTGTTTGTTAGTGGCCTTGACAAATATATCAATCATTAACGGAGGGAAAGGAGTACAAGTGGAGAAAACCTGTGTATTTTCAAAGAATTAATTTCTTCTTCAGACATTCCAAACCTTATATTTTATATATATATATATATATGAATATAGAGACACATAACTTAACCTGACATTATCATGGTTCTGTTTGTTCCATTTTCACACATATTTCGTAAAACATTTGTTGGACACGAATATATTAAAGCTAATTCTGTTATTCTGTACTTGAATAGTATTTGTTTCAAGGTCTGGTACAAAGTGACTACTGATAATCTAAGTTTTATTTACTGCGTGTGTGTGTGTGTGTTTGTGTGCGTGTGTGTACATGTGTGGGTGTGAAAAAAAAACACAAAGATTGAGGGATGAGGGGTGGGCTCTCATTGATGTTTGATTTGAGAGCATATGTAATGCCAGGGATTTCAGTTTAAATAGACACCCAGAAAAATTGCCTTTCAAAAGCTACCCCAATATTTTTACAATGGTACTCTCTCAACATCTTTGGCTTTTCATCCTGTTGCTGAATATTTACAGATCATTGCAACAGAGGGGTAAGTCAACGATTTCCTTGTGTACATTATAGGTAAATGATAACAGTGGCAATAACTTTATCAAATGCACGGTACATGCAGGGACTATTTATTACATTTAAATATTACTATTACTTATAAATATTGGTTTATCCCTTTCATTAGGACATTTTCTGATAAGGCTTGAGCTTAATTTTCACATCATTGTCAATCAATTATGGCCTTTTGGCCCTTGCTGATCAAAATCTGATTTCAGTTCCAGCTTCCACCTTTGTATCATGAATGTTTAAAAAGCATCAGTTTCACAAGATATTTATTTGTGACCTCCCTAAAAACGGCAGTTAAAATCTAAACAAATGAAATAAGCCATGAAATGATTGCACAGTATTAAAAATGTCATTTTCAATGTGTTTGTTTTTTTTTTTTTCAGAGATCTCTTGTAAAATTGATGTAATACACCCACAGCTCTTCATTGCTGGGATACCACCAACAAGTCAGTCAATCAAACCTGGACACATGTTACGCTTTAACTGCGGTGGTAACTATCGCATGACAGGCCCAGAGGAAATTGAATGTTTGCAAAGTGGAGAGTGGAATTCTCCATTCCCAACCTGCTCCGGTATGTTTCCTTTCTGTGGATGGTGATCCCATTCAGACTGACGCAGACATACAGCCTTTATGATTTCAAACAACCTTAACAGAAAAGCACAAAACTGAAAAAAAACATATAAAACTCATAACTTTGAATTTGTTTGTTTATTTTCTGATTACTTTAGCTCAAAGCTAATATGGTCTGAAAAGGTTACAGTAGCTGTCAAAGTCACTTAGAAGAAAACAATCAGATAACCAAAAGCTTCAAAGGGAAAGTTCTACTAAGATGAAATATCTAAATGTTCAGAAAATATGTTGAGAGGCACAGCAACTAATACTCAAGGTGACAATGTGATGAGTCTGAGTCAGAAGTCTTTAGTTATCCGCTTTCTGCCTGCACCTGGTTTTTATCCAAATGTTTAGTAAATCTGACTAAGGCATATTGTTAAAATGTTTTGTCATATGAGTAAAAGATATTGAGTTTCCTGTCAATATCTCATTCTTGTAGGATCTGATTGTTCAAGTCCACCTTTGCTGGAGAATGGAGACATAACAGATGTTTATAAACAAAAATACAAACATGATGAAAAAGTTGAGTACGTGTGTCAGGCCTGGCACATAATGGAGGGGGGACCATTCAGAAAATGCGTGGATGGTGAATGGACTGGAGAGATTACATGTCTGAGTAAGTTTCCATTAAATCTATCTCACAAGGCATGTTTTTTTTTTACGGAGCACAATTCATACACAAGGCAATACAAACTTCTTTACCAGATAAAATCTCAAAATTTGTAAATAATTTTTTATTCTTTATTGGAGAAACAAATATTTGTTGTACAGTAATCTGTAGTTGATCTTACTTTGACATCGACTGTGGTACAGTTTGTAAAAGGTTTTTATTAATGGTTTATATAAATTGTACATAAATTTTTCTGTAGTTAATATTGTAGCCTTCACATTTAAAGGCCCTCAACAGGAAACACGATAAATTATTAGAAATTTGCGTAAACTTTTAATGATGTAAAGCTTTGTTTCAAACATCAGAAACATTAACCAAAGACCAGACATCCTATGTTTTTCTAACTTTACTGCTGCTCCATATTTGAAAAGGAAATGCATAAATTCAGATATACAGAGGGGAATGTTTCTGCACTCTGTGAAAGCATGACTACAAAGTTATCCATACGGATTGTTGAAAACCGTCACTCATTAAATGCGTAAAGTTTGAATTGAAGAGTATTCCATTTAAAAAAAATGTTTTTTTCAATTTGTGTTACAAATTTTCTTTCTCATTATTGTTAATAAGTAACATATTTGTACAAACTCTCAGGCTCATTTTAAAGGTTTCTGTAGCAGATTTTAAAAGATACTTTTTAAGGTCAAAAGGCAGATTTATTTCTGTGTGAAATTCTGCATTAAATGATTAATTATGCGTTTACTGTAAAGTTCCTGATTAATCTGAATATGAATAAAAGTGAGAGATTTAAGCAATGATTCATGTATCAGTCAATATTTCTCTCTTATATATAATTACAAATAGCTTTATTTCTCATCTAGACAACAGCTGTGATGTTTTTCACTGATAAAACCATTATTTCTCTTTCATTTTTCAGAACCCTGCACTTTGAACCAAGACGACATGACAGATAATAATATTCAACTGATAAGTGGAGACGGTAAAATATATTCAGAACATGGTGATCATATCACATTTGAATGTACAAGAAGAAAATCCCGTGTGGGCTCAGTGGCATTCCGTCAGATGTGTAAGGATGGTGTAATAACTCTGCCCAGATGTGAGTGAGAGTTCTGTTGAGCCCAGTTTAATCCCCGCATGCTGACATACGAATGATTAACGAGAGTAAAGTGTTGTGTGATTCAGGCCTGCGAGTTGTCATGAAAACATGCACACTGAGTCCTTTAGCTCGATGTGTTTGATGAATCACATATCATTTCATATTAAATTTCACTATAAAAGCAACTTAATGTTCAGAATCTTTTTTAATTCCTTGTGCAAGTTCTTGAAATGATCCTCAGCCTCCTTTTTTTTTCCTTTTGAGAATGTGGTCTTTACACAATGAAACAAACCACAAGGTGCATTTGTTTTTGATTATTATTTGAGAACTTTTCAAGTCAAAGGTCAAATTCTTTATAAGAACCTCTAATATAGTTTCTCATTCATTTGCATCACAAACTTCCACAGCTGGCAACTGAAGAGTTTTGATTTGCTGTATTAAATGTTACATTATGCTTCCCTTTTCAATTTATTACTTCTCTGTTTTGTTCTCATTTTGTGGGGAAAATTATAATTACAATTATTATTATTATTATTATTATTAATTCGTAAAAATCTAACTGATTTTAGGACTAATAATATTAGGAATAGGGAATCTAATCTAACATTGATCTACATTCAAATTTGTCCTAAAATGTTCCTGATAAATTCTGATATGGGCGACATACGAACACACATCACGGTATGTCAGCCATCCCCAGAGTTTAGATGTATATCAATCAGAAGAATCTAACTCAGCAGCAACTCTGACAGCAGCATAGACATACTACACGTATGTTAAGGATGCTGTGTCATGTTTGCTGCAGATCGGGCACACGTACAGAGGAAAATTCCCAAACACGTGGTGTTGATATTAGCACAATCAATAAAGTTTAAAGTTTAGCTTAAAAATGAGCCAATACTAAGGGACGACAAGTCTAAGTACACCAGAAAATCTCTCCAAAAATGGCTGAGAGGGAAATGAATAACTGTATTGCAGAGCCAAATGTAGAATTCTAGCCTTCAAACGCTTTAAACAACAAAGTATGTTCCTAAAGTTGTGACACTGGTCAAATGATTGTTTCTGAAAGGTGGTTGTTATAGTTATCGAACACCCACTGGCCACATTGGTTTTCTGTACCCTTTCTTTGTATCTTGGTTCGATCACAGAAAATATCCATTGTATTTCATATGACTACAAAACTTGACATTCCCACTGGCCAACGACAAAGACACTATATTTAATTTAAAGATATATATTTGAAAACAGCCAAACAAAGACTTGAAATCCACATCTGATGATTTTGCTCTGAATTTAGCAGCTGCAATCATAAGTGGTGTGTGTATGTTAAGAAGTGGCCCATTTAGATTAGTGGAATGAAGGTTGGGTATACTAAGCCATTGATCCTTTCTTGCTTCCAGTAAAAGGTTTAACTTCTCTGACAAATATATCAATCATTAACGGAGGGAAAGGAGTACACATGTGGAGCAGATCTGTGTATTTTCAAAGAATGAATTTCTTCTTCAGATATTGCAAACCTTACACTTTAGATATATATGAATATATAGATACTTAAGTTAACTTAAGATTATCATGGTTCTGTTTGTTCCACTTTTACACGTTTGATAAACCATTTGTTTGATAAGAATGTATTAAAGTTAATTCGGCAATAATACTATACTTGAATAGTACTTGTTTCAGTGTCTGGGACAAAGAAAAAGATGGAGGGATGAGGGACGGCTCTAATCGATGTTTGATTTGAGAGTGTATGTACTGCCAGGGATTTCAGTCTGAATAGACACCAAGAAAATTTGCCTTTCAAAAGCTAACACTGGATTTTCACAATGATACTATCTCACCATCTTTGGCTTTTCATCCTGTGGCTGAATATTTACAGATCTTTGCAATGGAGGGGTAAGTCCATTATTTCATTTTGTTACATTATAGGTAGATAATGAAAGTAGTAATAATTTTATAAAATATGCAGTGCATACATGGTCCATTTAAATATTACATTTTCTACATTCACTATTACATATGTATACACACATATTTGTTTATTGTCTTTTTTGTAGATTTTTCATAGATGGTGGTGTCATTCTCTAGTTTGAATTGTTTTCTTTGTTGTTGTTGTTATTCCTGTTAAGATTCTGGTTTTGGTTAAGTACGCTGTTTTTGCTTTATGATGCTCCTCTTTCATGGTTTCTTATTGTCTTCAGTGTCAGAAAGTATCTTCTCCAAAGTGTGTTGACCATCCATCCCATTCCCATGTTTCTTTTCCATGTGTTTATTTTTTTGCTTAATTGAATTGAGAAACAGAAAGTCTTTCTTTATTGATTTGTGTTCTCTAAAGATCTCTGTTTTTTCATGGCAACTACAGTTTGTGCAAAACCTGGTGTTGAAAATGGATTTGCTGTTGGTCCATTTGACAACAAGGTCTATTACACCTGTAATGAAGGTTTTAAGCTTTCCTCCAAAAGCTGGTGGGGTGTTTCCAAATGTAGTGGAGAAGTGTGGTCTGAACTTCAACCATAAATAGGTAATTATCTAATATTTCACAATTTATTTCAAGTCTAATTATTTGGTTATCATAGTGAATTAAACAGCTTTGTTCTGAATGAAAAATATTCTAAGTCTAATTTAGGTCTGGTTATATCAAATCAGTCCTTGTTCTCTCTCTGCTCCACTTGATGATTGCTTTTAATGTGTCATAAACACTTTTTCTTAATTCTGTCAAAACCCAGTTGATTGTATTCATATTCTACCAGAGGAAAATAAGTGAAGAGAAGCTCCTGTGATTTCTAATGGAAAAACAATTCCAGCAAATACTTTTTTGACATGACTAAAGTTTCGAAATCATTTGAAAGGAAGGATACCACAGTATCATCAGCCATCTAACCTGTCTCATTGGAAGGTGGAATTTAAATGTAAATTCACTGAAAACAATCTGTACAGGTGGGGTGTGATCTTTAATACCTGTATAAATGTTTTTTATTCTGTTTAATTTAACATCATACATGATTTCACCTCTTCCAGCTGGTGCTGAGCTCTGTGGTCCACCACCTAAAGTTGAGAATGCATTCGTTATGGCGCCATATCAGGCTGACTGCTTGCCTGATTCTGGAGTAACTTATCAGTGCCAGAAAAACGTTAAAATGGAGGGAAAAACTAAATTATATGAAAAGCTGGAAGACGGGAGAAAAAGGCCATTATGTGCATCCGTAAGTACATAAAGTTGCTCTAATAGTTGCCATAAGAAGATACCTGTTATGCAGCATCCTCCTTGGATTTCACAAGTCTTTGTTTGTTTGTCCACAGCATGAAAAGCTGAAATACAAAAGCATGCAATATAAAAAGCAAAAATAACTGTCAATTAGTTAGTTAAAAAACAAAACTTGAAAACAGTTTGAGTCAGAGCTGAAGATTTACTCATACCATGCAAAAACTCATTATTCAGTTTTTAAGCCACGTTGAAGCTTCAGTTCTGTTTCCGTTTTTCACAGTAGCTCCAAATTCAAAGAGAAGCAAAATGTCATACGATGTGACAAAGAGCAGAGACAATTTCTGTGGAAGTCACTGGACCACTAACCTACCCATTGTGATGACCAAACATGGACTGATGAATCTGTATTTCATGTTTTCAGCCTACTGTAATAAGCTTGAAGATGACTAAATTAATTGTATGTCAATATAAAAAATATTGCAAATTTAAAAGTTAGTCGTAAAGACAACTAGCAGAATGTGTTTCCAGGCCTTCTCTCTGTTAATGCTTATTTGTGGTTATTTATTTAATCAAAAACACTGTTAATCTGTTTTCTTTTGCGAAACCTTGTGTTGTGCTTATTGAGGACATTGAGAAATATAATCTTAAACCATTTGGAGGAACTGAGAGTACCTTATATGTTCAACACAATAATGTAATGATTTTCTTCTGCAAAGCGAGTAAATGTTTCAGTACCTAAAATCAATGTGTTCAATGTAAGCACCAATCATGTACACCATTAAGCAAAGAAATACTGGAATTGCTTCAATAAACTACAATTAAGAGACGATCAGACTGTATTGCTTTTTCTAAAATTGTACTCTAATTCCAAAAGTACCCTTTCCAGTCAAATCTAATATTGATAATTTTTTTTTTTTTCTTTTCCATGTTCTCCAAGAATGTGAGGGTTCTCAGGCTTCTTCCAAACATCCAAAAACATGCATGTTAGATGTAGTCGCGTCTAAACCAACCGGAGGTCAGTGGACCGTGGTTAATGTCTGCAATTTTTTCAACCTACATTTCCAAGTGAGATTTAGACTTTTTGTTGGTCTTAAACCACTGTTTCAATTAATTAATAGTAGTTTTATTCTAATTAAAATGCTTTCGATTTGTTGCTTCTACTTTTAAGTCCTGCAAAATTCATTATGGCTTATTTTCATATAAAGTGCACCAACCATGAACTGTAATTAGTGGGCTGCATATCATGCACACCTTTTGCAATTAAACTAAACTACAGTCAGATAGCCATAAACTTTTGTCAACATTCATCCAGTCAAAAAAATCTAACTTTGAAATTTGATTTAAACACATTGATTGACACTATAAGAATTGCTCTGTTTATGGATTGTACTAGTTGCTCTCTTCCCACTGGATGGACATCTAGTCAATGAAACCATGAAACCATCTAAAAACACAGCTCCATTTTAATATTTACAAAATATTTGGAAAAAAAAGAGGACCAAAAAAGGCAAACATTTTTTTTAGAAATATAATGAGATGAATAAAACTTAAGACAGAAACATCTATTTATAGAACAATGGACAGTGTGTCTGCCACCATCTGAATGGCTCTCAGAGGATCCACGATGTCTTTGAGCTTGTCTTTCCTGAGGACCCAGTCTGGCGCAAACCTGAAAAAAAAGCAGGATACCATGATAGCATACGTCTGAGTCAGACTCAAAGGTTGTGTAAAAAACAGGGACATACTTTTGCACGGGGCGGGATTTCCGAGGAGTTGCGGGGACATAGAAGCTCCCGTTAACCGAGGCATTCATCTTTTGTTTGACGATGGTTCTCTCTGCATCCATCTGGTGTTTCCGGACTGTGAGGCGGTAAATACTGCAAATCCTATCCAAGGCCTTGGGAAGCTTTGAGACTTCCTAATGAAAAGGGAAAGGACAGTCATTTTAGCTTCCTGTGAAATTGGGGACTAACCGTTTCTGCTTGCTGCTGCAGCTATGGACCTCAGCACGCTGCTTGTCCTGCAGCAGGAGGGCGAGAAGGAAGCAGGTTTTGGTGAAGATGCTGCCCCCTTTTTCAGCCACTTTATCGCCTGCCTTTTCCCGGTATCTCTGCAGCAGATCCAGCAGCGTCTCCACAGAGTTGTTCACCGAATACACAGCTTCTATAGTCATGTGATACTGAAAGGGAAAGAGTCAGTGTGGAGTTAAAAAAAAACATTAAAAAACAAATAAATAGACGTTGAGAAGTACAAACATAAGATGGATTGGCATAAGATGGAACAGAAAAGGAATAAACAGTCTTTAGTTCAGGCATGTTCTTGCTGTCCCACAGTCAGTTAGTTTCTGCAGGTTTACAAAAAAATGTTTGTGTTGAGATAAATGAAGGGAGATATCTACTTTTTAAAGGGATTTTTGAGGCAATCACTAATCGTCAAACCCTTACCTGCAGAAAGCAAACAAAGATCAACATTTCCACCAAAAACAACCCACACTACAATTCGAAAGAAAAACTGAATGTATTGGTAATTAGAAATGCTCTCACCCTGTGCTGCTGCATGCACAGCAGAGGTCCGTGTATGCATCCGGTTTGGCATCAGACCAATTACACGTCTTACTGCTTACTAGGTATGACGGTATTTAAAAGATGCGTTTGCATTTTTTCGGGACTTTCATTTGTTTTTATTGAAAATCTCAGCTCTTAAGAAATTCAAAGGACATCCAAATAATATTTTTTTCTAGCTACCGCTGTCAGATTCTGTGGGGTGCAAAGAGATAACATGAAGGCCACTCTGTCAGCATGTTTTCCAAGTCAAACAAACAACATCTGCACACAAAAGAAGGAATCAATAAATGCAAGAGCCAGATAATAGGTTTTGAAAAAGGCAATTGACTGTGGAAAAAAAGAAAACATTTATGGTCAGAACCAGATTAATCGTGGAGACCATCATGCTTTAATTGCATCTGGTCTGTACTGCAGGGATCTGCTTAAAGCGATGCCATCTTCTCTCTTAAGTGTTATATGTGAAAAAACTCTTCCACATTTAAAATAAACAAATAGAAAAAAAAAAGTTCAGCCCAAATTCCAACAAAGAACTGTTGACTGAAAGTGCAACATGTCAAATACCTGATGGTAGAGTGCATCCACCTTTGGACCTAAATCCTTCTCAGAAGTTTAAATAAATCAATAAAAGGTTTAAAGCAGGACATGACTAATATATATATCTCACATTTTCACAGATGTCATCAGTTAAACTTATTAAATAACCAATGAACCCATACAGCTTGATTTAGTCTGTTAACTGCTTTGTGAAAATAATCTGGCAGTGTGGTGTTATATTTGAGGTTAGTTTCCAAACAGAAATTACATACATATTTCATCATGCATGTATGACCATATTTCTGCATATCCCAGCGTTTTATTGCCATGAAATCTTTTAATAACAGAATGCAGTCTTTGCAGGATGAGAAAGGGAACATGGTGCAAATCAACAGAAGATTGCAAAACATGTTGACCTTAGTGTGACTGTATATTGCAGAAGAGAAACCATTCTTAAGATGATTTAAAGGAAGAGAAAGTCTGCAGGGAAGTAAGGATTTGAGGAAATACCCCACTTGTGCGTGAAGTTTACCTTTATATTGCAAACAGTCCATTTGTTGTTTTGAACTTGTTATTCAGCACCATATCAAGAGTTTCAACTTAAAACTTAAATAAAAATAGCACAAATTATCCAACTATTGAAAATCAGAATTTATATTCTTGTATTAATGAGACCGATTGCTCTCAGTTGAATTGACAGAAGTAAACACAATTTTTCTAAACATCTCCCCAACAGCTCTTATGATAGGTCACCCTTTTAACACAAAAAGCCAGCTACACTGTCCCTCTAAATGATTTCCTATAAACAGTGAAGCCTTTCTAATTGATGTTGAAAACTTCTCCAGTATGTAGGAGCAGACTATATGTTGCTTGCTTGTAAGTGCTGCTTCGTGTCGGCAGTACCTTGGAGAGATTGAGAAGGATCTGGATGGAGAAGGTGATGACCTCCATGCAAGCGACGCTCCTGTTGCAACAGCGGATGAGAGTGAAGATGACGTGAGTGGCTCCGCTCTCTACCAGCCGCTCACAGCACTCTGGTGATAGTCTGGTGGCAGTTTCTATGCACACACACGCACATACACACACTTCAGTTAAGCGTGCAAAACAAGCTGCAGTATTTTTAAACTTAACACATAACCCTGACCACACCAGCACTTTTGCCATTGCGACACAACCACAAATGGCAGAAGAGGAACGCTTTACTTCAAAATTTCCACACAGTTTCTTGATTTTTGAGCGTTTATGCCAGAATTCAACATCACAGAAAGATGGCCCCGATGTGCGGTTCCCGAGAATCTTAATGTGAAATTTTTTCGTTTCACTCTACACAGAAGGTGTATAAAGATGTAGCATGAAAAAGGAAGAGTTGGTAGAAGTAAACTAGTGGGCCTGCTTCATCAGCATGTGATGAATGACCGTATGAAACCAAGTCTCACCCAGATTTTTTAGTGCTTCCAGAATATATGAGAAGTGTTTGTATCTCAGCAGGTAATCCAGAGCAGATGAGGTCTTGTTGCATAGTCTGTCTTCTTCACGGACCCTAGCAGAGACTTGGTGTAAACGCTGCCTCAACTTCATAAGTTTGGGATTGTCATTCAGCCTGCGGGAGTGATGTCCTCTCCATAGAGCCTGCAGGGATTTTGGGGGGTGGGGAGGGGGGGGTAGAGAGTCCATTTAGGTTCTGTTCACCCGGTGACAACCCTTTCAAGATTACACGCTGAAGGAAAGCTCCTCTGAGGAGTGACTCGGTGTCATGAGCATCTTGCTGTTGTAGGTGGAAATGATCACATACAGGTAAAATGAGAGCATGTAGGTTTAAAACTATCAACTATCAGCTGTGTGGGGTACCTGAGCTTTGACAATGCCTTTTTCAACTTTCTCCTGGCGCTTGAGGAGGAGGAACTTCCGGACAGCTAGCTGGATGACGGATGCAGCCCTGTGCCGGCGGGCTAGCCAGCACCTGACAGCTCTCTGTGCTGTGATCACCTTCCTCCTGTCCTCCACATATCGTCTTCTCTGCTGCTTTGCCCTCACACAGCGCTTAGAAAAGAAGAGAAAGTTATTTTCAAGAAACGCTGCTCTGATTCCCGGGGAATGTCAGCTTGTTGTTGCTGTACCTGAATGCTGATGACAGAATGGATCTGTCGTTTTGCAGACTCCAGAGCCCAGTGAGCTCTCAGGGCTCGCTGGATCTTTATAGCACTGAGATGATGGAATACGGCCGATGTGAAACGGAGCCTCCTCTCGGCCCGAGCTGACTCGTACGCCTGGAAAATAGACACATTGCACCATTACTTTAAGACTTAAAACCACCGTGTGAAATAACCGTTTGCAGCAATAGCGGTTTTGTTTCAAGTCGTTCTAAGATTCTATTATGTGTTAGTCCAAATGTAGGTAACTACCTGTTTTCTAGATCTCCAGGCTCTGCAGTGTCTCTGTAGCATTATGGCAGCTTGCCTCCTCTGGATGAAGTTACCCCTCTCTGCTTTAGCTGCCACAGTGGCTCGATGTTTTCGCTGAATGGTGACAGCCGATGACCTAAGTTTTAGAAATTGCTGTCGTTTCTGGTGGGCTCCGAAGGCTCTCTGGATAACTATGGCTGCCTGGTGCCTTCGTTTGGTCATTTGTCTGGACTTCATCCCTCGATATGCAGCCTGTAGAACAACGGCAGCTTTTCTAAGCTCTTGATAATACTTGGCTTGGAGGCATTTCTGTCGGTGCGCTCTAAACCTCTGCTGCAAGACGCAGGCTGCCCAGCGCTGCCTCCTGAAGGCTTCTTTCTGTTTGTGTCCTTTAAAGTTTGCCTGAATGATGGCGGCTGCTCTGTGCATCTTGGCCATGTTTGTACGTATACGATGGCCTCTGACGGCTGCCTGAATAACAACAACTGACCGTTTCAACCTGAGGAATTTTGCTCTGTCTCTCTTTTGGAGAAGAAGAGCCCTGAAGCGCCTTTGAATAATGATGGCCGACAGACGCATGGCCTGGAATTTGACTTCCTCTCTGTGCCTTTTGAACGCGGACTGGATCACAGTCGCAGCCTGATGCCAACGTGCCACCGTCCTTCTGATCTGCTGCCCTCTATAAGCTGCCTGAAGGACAACAGCAGCATTACGCATCTCCTGGTATCTCTGCATTTGTTTCTTTGCCATAAGACTGGCTCGATACCTTCTCTGAATGGTAAGGACAGAGGCTTTCACAGCGAGATACATCTCGTGCTCTCGGTGGGCTCCGAAGGCTCTTTGGATAACTATGGCAGCCTGGTGCCTTCGTTTGGTCATTTGTCTGGACCTCATCCCTCGATATGCAGCCTGTAGAACAACGGCAGCTTTTCTAAGCTCTTGATAATATTTGGCTTGGTGGCATTTCTGTCGGTGCGCTCTAAACCTCTGCTGCAAGACGCAGGCTGCCCAGCGCTGCCTCCTGAAGGCTTCTTGCTGTTTATGTCCTTTAAAGTTTGCCTGAATGATGGCGGCTGCTCTGTGCATCTTGGCCATGTTTGTTCGTAGACGATGGCCTCTGACGGCTGCCTGAATAACAACAACTGACCGTTTCAACCTCAGGAATTTTTCTCTGTCTCTCTTTTGGAGAAGAAGAGCCCTAAAGCGCTTCTGGATAATGATGGCCGACAGACGCATGGCCTGGAATTTGACTTCCTCTCTGTGCCTTCTGAATGCTGATTGGATCACAGTAGCAGCCTGATGCCAACGTGCCACCGTCCTTCTGACCTGCTGCCCTCTATACGCTGCTTGAAGGAAAACTGCAGCATTACGCATCTCCTGGTATCTTTGCATTTGTTTTTTTGCCATAAGACTGGCTCGATACCTTCTCTGAATGGTAAGGACAGAGGCTTTTACAGCGAGATGCATCTTGTGCTCTCGGTGGGCTCCAAAGGCTCTCTGGATAACTCTGGCTGCCTGGTGCCTTCGTTCGGTCATTTGTCTGGACCTCATCCCTCGATATGCAGCCTGTAGAACAACGGCAGCTTCTCTAAGCTCTTGATAATACTTGGCTTGGAGGCATTTCTGTCGGTGCGCTCTAAACCGCTGCTGCAAGACGCAGGCTGCCCAGCGCTGCCTCCTGAAGGCTTTGTGCTGTTTATGTCCTTTAAAGTTTGCCTGAATGATGGCGGCTGCTCTGTGCATCTTGGCCATGTTTGTACGTAGACGATGTCCTCTGATGGCTGCCTGAATAACAACAACTGACCGTCTCAACCTGAGGAATTTTGCTCTGTCTCGCCTTTGGAGAAGAAGAGCCCTAAAGCGCCTCTGGATAATGATGGCCGACAGACACATGGCCTGGAATTTGACTTCCTCTCTGTGCCTTCTGAATGCTGATTGGATCACAGTGGCAGCCTGATGCCAACGTGCCACCGTCCTTCTGACCTGCTGCCCTCTGTGCGCTGCCTGAAGGAGGACCGCTGCCCTTCTGCTGTTCTCATAGAGCCTTCTTTGTTTCAGCATTGCCGCTTTGGCTCGATATCTCCGCTGAATTTTGAAGACGGAAGATCTCAATGTGAGGTAGCTCCTGTGCTGGCAGTGCGTTCTGTACGCTCTCTGGATGATGGAGGCAGCCTGATGTCTATGTTTGATCATTTGCCTCGATTTCATGGAACGGAAGGCAGCTTGTAAGACCACAGCAGCTTTCCTTTTGGAAGTCAGAGCGTGCATTTCTGCTTTCATAATTCTCTTAGCTCTGTAACGTTGTTGCAATACACAACAAGCCCAGCGGAGCTTCGTGTAGTATGTTCTCTGCTGGTACATTCTGAAGTGACACTGAATAGTTACAGCTGCCATTTGCCTAATACGCAGCTGTTTTCTCACTGCATAACCTCTGTAGGCTGCCTGCAGGCAAACAACTGCCCTGCGCTGTAACAGATAGTCCAGATGGTGTTTTCTTGCCAGGGTCAATGCTCTGTATTTGTGCTGACATGTCAAAGTTGCTGCCTTGATAGCCAGGAACTGCTTTCTAGCCTGCATGGTCAGGAACTTTCTCTGTATGACTTTAGCGGCTTGATGCATCTCTGCAATTCTCCTCCTGGCCCTGTTCCCACGATATGCTGCCTGGATGACTACAGCTGCAGATTTAATTGTTCTGTAACCCCGCACGTGTTCGTCCCTGAGCTTAGTAGCACGGTAGCGCTGCTGAATAACAATGGCAGCGTATCTGGTGGCTAGGTAAGCCATATGACATCTGTGCCTCCTGAACTGAGCTTGGATTGTTCTGGCAGCATCATGCTTCATTTTTAGGTCCCGTCTCACTTTAAGGCCTCGGAAAACAGCTTGTATGGTTATGGTGGCCTGCTTTAGTTGTCTGAACTCATTTTGCTGGGTCCTGCAGAGCAGAACAGCTCTGTATTGACTTTGGATGATAATTGCTGCACTCTGAAGCAGAAAATATTTCTTCCTACGTAAGAACATCCTAACCAAAGACTGAATGACTGTTGCAGCCTGGTGCTTTCTCCTCAGCTCTTTCCTAACTTTCATGCCTCTGAATCCAGCTTGGAGAGTAATACATGCTGCTTTCTTCAGTATATATGCACTCCGCATCTTTTTTCCAGCCACAAATGCTCTGTAGTAATGCTGTATTACTTCAGCCGCTGCCCTCTGGGACCTGTACTCTGTCTGTGCTTTGTGCCGACGATAGCAAGTCTGTACTAGCGTTGCACACCGATGCCACATCTCAATCTTCTTCCTGTCGGCTCTGCCTCTCCAGTTAGCTTGTAAGACCAGCGCAGCATTTCTGAGTGCATCATATTCCTTCTTTGTCTTGCGGGCCAATAGTTTAGCTCTATACCTTTTCTGTATAATTGATGTGGCATTTCTCAAGACAAAATACTCTCTTTGAGCAGCATGTTTCCTAAAAGCTGCCTGGATCGTTGTTGCCGCTTTGCATTGCTCTTTTAGTAAATCTCGGGTCACCTTTCCTCTGTAAGCTGCCTGTATGGTAACGGCCGCATGCCTCAGCCTCACAAACATTTTTCTTTGGGCGTCTCTTTTCACAGAGGCTCTGAACCTGCGCTGGATTGTGATGGCAGCAAACCTCTGCCTTGCCATACATTTCCTGACAACATGTCCTCTGAAGGCACTCTGGATAACGGCAGCAGAGCGGTGCTGCAGCTTTAGCATCTGAAAGCGCAGTCTCTGTCTACGGCCTCTGCACAGCGCTTGAATGAGCACAGTACTTCTCTTGATCTTTCGGTACTGACGGAGACAAAACTGCATTCGGAACCAGGACTGAATTCTTAGAGCAGCAACATTTCTTTCTGCCAGCTTCTTCTTGTACCATTTCCTAAAAGCGCCTTGTATTACTTTGGCAGCATTGTTTTCCCTCTGTGTTCTCAGAGTTTTCCGCCTTCTGTATGTTCTCTGTATCTTCACAACAGCGGTTCTGAGAAGGAGATAGCGTTCCTGCTCTTTTTTCGAAAGGGCCCAGGCTCGCAAATACTTCTGAATAACTGAGGCTGCCCGATAGATTTTTCCATAAGCAGTGGCTGCCTTCCTCATGCGCCATTGTGCTTGGACCACAATGGTGTAATATCTGAGACGTTGGTAAGCCCTTGAGGCCGAAAGCATCCTCCACTGAACCTGCATAGAGAAGATAAGGCACATCAAAAGAAAGAACAGTCAGATCCAGCAGCTTCCTTAAGCGACAAATATTTTCAAAAGATGTATCACAAACATTAACTAGAGAGCATATTAATTCAGGATTATAAATTCTAATATGGCTTTAGTAAAACTCCTTTACAGCTGTGATTAGTGAAATGAGATCAAGTAACTTCTGAAGACTGAAAAACACCTGAGATAATATATTGTTTATTTTCAGTCTAATTAGTTTATTGTTAAGTTTAAGCCAATTTAAAAAGCCTAAGTAGATTACCCTGTATAAAGGTATTAATATTGTTACTTCGATACCGAGTTAAGTTAGACAAATGTAAGGTTTCTTAAAAGATAAGCACAGCACACCTCTATCAAGATTATTAATGTAAGTTATGTGCGATAAAGCCCTTTTGATTCTTTAGTGGGTAACAAACACCCACCTGGATGAGAGTGGCTGCTTTGTTCTGCATAGCTCGAATCTCAGCCGCTTTCTTCAGCCTCAGTCTGTTGCGAGCGAGATAACCCCTCCAGACTGACTGAATGACAATAGCGGCCTTAATCTGCCCTTTAGCTCTCTGCTTCTGAAGAAAACTTCTCACCAACACCTGGATTTTTGCTGCTGCCTTGTTTCTTTCCTGGATCCAAGAAAAATTAAAATAAATAAATTAAAATTAAAAAAACACACAAAGAAAGAAGTAAAGACATACTTATTGTAGTTTGCACACATATTTTTGTCAGTTTACAGAAACATCAAGACGGCACCAAGCTTCATCTATAAGTGCTGCCTGGTTGTTATCTCATCAATCTAAATATTGAACCTGGAAATTCTCAAGTTCCATTCAAATTTCAGGAGGAAAATTGGGGATGGTGTTTTCCAAGCATAACCTCAACATTTTTTCTAAATCTATGTTTAGGTTCTACATTATCTTTTATCACTATCTGTGAATAGTCCCTAGAATAAAATAACAAAAAGGTTTTTCTGTCTTTAATTTCTCTACCAGATCAAATAAAGCAGAGTTTGCAATGAGAAGGTTATATAGAAGAAACATGTCAAATAATAATTACGCAATCACACAGTTGATGTAAAAAAAGACTTCAAAATAATTTCAGTTTAAAAGTTGATCATAAAATAACATTTAAAAGTAAAATTCAAATAGAAAACACGAACCTAAAAGAACACGATGAGCCACTCAGCATGGTCACCAAAAGACAAATAAATACATTTAAAAAGGGCCTAACCACAGAGACACACAGCTGTAACAGCTGCTTTCTCACTGTGATGCAGGTTGAGCTCATAACTCTGGGGCGCCCTCGCACCAAGAACCCAACGCCGGGTCGAATGCTGCTGGCATGCAGGCACAACCGGCACAAAGGTCTTCACACATAACTGACCTGATTTAATCATGGAAATAAATCACTACACCTCATAGAGCTGCAGGTCTTTCTTCAGTCTATATTTCCTCCAGGCTCCTTGTATAACCCGAGCGGCCCTGGTCTCATTCCGTAGATCCAGCAGTCGCACACAAAGGAAGGACAGGTAGGACATGACCACCTGGAAACAATTTGACTCTTGTTAGATCTGAACATGGACGAACAACCACGCACACTCACTCCTTAGGGCAATTTTGAATGTCCAATCAACCTTACATGCAGGTTTTTGGACGGTGGGAGGAATCAGGAGAACCCGGAGAGTATGCACACAGACACAGGGAGAACATGCTAACTCCATGCAGAAAGGTCCTGGTTCCTCCAGGGACTCCAACCACACACTGCCCCGCCCAGCATATTCGAATGTGTGTTAATAGGCCTACACCCACCCATTTCATTAACATTACAATAGCAATGCAATGCTTATCTGCTTGAGGCAGTTTTTCCTTTAACTTCACTCAATTCAGTAATTCCTACATGCCCATTTAGAATTGTATACTCATTAATTGTTGTGCCTGCACAGGAAATTCACACGTTGCTGTTAAAGCCCATTAAAAGCAAGACTCTGCAGTGTAATATCTGATGACCCTGGTTAAAAAGGAATTAAATAAACCTTCCAGCCAACCTTCTTAAGTTCCTCACTTTAGATTCATTAGAAAAAAAAAAAGATCAAAAATGCAAAAGAAAAGCAATTATCTTGTTAACGTTTGTGGGGTCTCATACAAATCTCCTGCTTGCTCTTACCTTCTCATTTGGGATGGTGTTGGACATGTCGGCCAGGTTGATCATGGCTGGAACTCCGCCGAGGAAAGCCACAGCACTATTAACATGCCTGAAGTTGTTCTTCTCGTTCTCAAGAAGCTCTTTGAATTCCAGTGATGGAGAATTTGGCTCTGTTCCGAAAACAACATACAGCTGTGGCAACCGTTTTTTTGGGACTACATTCACATCAACAATGAATATAATAAATTATTCCCATTATTACACCTTTTAAACATGATTGGGGAAAGGGAAATGGAAAGCCAGCTGCAGCTTGTGTGTGTTACGGATGTTCGAACAGAGCAGTCACAGGTTAACTGAGCAGGGGGCACTGCACAGGCACCGTGTACCTTTCAGGCCTGATGGGAAGGAGTCGAAGGAGCTGTCAGAGTCGCTGGCTGAGCAGCTGAGCTCCAGGCGGCCCCTGGGTGAACACTCCACAGTCTGTGTGGTGCTGTGACTGATGGATGCCTCTGGCAGGAGGCCGGGGTGGTAGTGGTGGATGAGGTAGCAGAGGACGCGGCCGTCTGAGAAGGCCACGGTGAAGTTCTCCACCTAAACAGAACGGTGATTTACTGTTTGACACACGGAGGACCTTCTGACACAGCAAACAGCAAGTCGTGGCCTTTAAAAGATGATCTTGGAATATGAAAAAAGGCTTTTTTCCCCATAACACGCTAAAAGCGGATATAATCTCAGATTCTACAACAGAAGCTTCACCTTCAGGTTGTAGAAGCCACACACAGCACGGGCCCAGTCCATCAGCAAAGAAATCCTGGTGCTCGTGTGTTCGTACGGCAGCCGGGACTCGGAGGGACTGGGCTGAACTCGGCGGTCGGCCCTCAAAGAGGCCAGTCTCCGTTTAGTCGTCAGGGTTTTCGTCAGGAAGCCAATCTCCTCTCTCAGCTGATCCTCATCCAGAACCACCTCCACCTTCAAAAATCGGATCAGAGCCTGTGAGCAATCTCCCCGCAAAAAGTTTTTTTTTTCTTTTTAAATCAGAATAAGGACTGATTACTGAAAATAGATACACACATGGAAAGCAAAGATGATTTTCCACAGGAGACTCAGTGTTTTTTCTCTATGTCCATCCACGATATCTCTTGAGTCAATGACAGCACCTAGGAACAAAGACAGATCTCATGGGTTATCTTAATGATGGAGCTTGACAGGTTTCCAGCAACTGAAGAAAATTTTAAGATAAAAGTATGTTTACAACTGTTTTGTGAAGGTGTATGATATAAAGGTAAGGTTTTAACAATTTAGGCTTTCACAGTGTCTGGAGACAACAGAAGAAGGCGTGTACCGTGTTCATCCTTGAGGTCGATGCCTTTGCTTTGGAGCATTTGCAGGGCGATGTCGACGTTGTGAACCTTCTGCAGGCGGCTGATGGCAGGCAGACGGAGCTTTGCAGACAAACTCCAGTCCTGAACCATCAGCTCCATCACTCGCCTGTGAGCCACATGAAAAAATATATCAATAAATAAAAATGTAAAGACTTTTTCTTTTTTTCTTATATCACAGTGATCTTATATAAGCTTCCACTCATGATGCAAAAAGGCAATCTTAAACGTCGGTTATCTGGTTCATTATCAGTCCATGTTAATGGAAACTTTTCTTTTCCCGAAAGAATGCTAGGGTGCAAAATTTTAGAATTAAGGACATTCTAGCAATAGACATATAAACTCACAGATACTCCCACAACTCCATATATCATGCTTTGTTTTACCTGATCACGCTCGACTTCTCTTTTTGTTTAAAAATATCAAACATTCAAGACATTTTAGTATTCAGCTCCCCCTACAGTTGTGGGATATAACGTTGCTGTCATATAAACTAACTTTTCTTTAGGAACTGCAAATATGCAGCCATATATGAACTTGGCAAAGAGTTTTTAACCCTCCTGATGCTCTCTTGTGTTTTTTAAAACTCAATTGTCCAAAAACATAGAAGAGATCAGCTAAGAGCGCATGTGACGCAAGCCAAATCTTTTCATCTCATCACCAGGAGGTGTTTACTTAAAGGTTTCACAGTTTTTGATGCATTTTCCCAGTTAGATAAGTAGTTTTTCCAACGTAGACTTTGAGAGATGTATCCATGGCCATAACTCAAGAATGCTCAAAAATGATAAATTATGTTCTTATGTTCTTAAAGGCAAATTCAACATCTTTAATGTGAACTAGAATTTCAAAATTCAGTATATCTCACTCACACTAGACGAATGCCACATTTCAGGTCAACTGCCAAATTTTTCACGGCGAAATCGAACTCGTCAAGTGGCATCTGAACGTGGGAGACCGGTAACCCGAGATAGGCCAGGTGGCGTGGGAGGATCCCCTCCCCACTTAGGAAATCCCTTGAGAAGGCCAGAAGCAGGTCTTTACTTGCCTGTAAGAAAAAGATTTAGTTTTCCCATTTAAAAAGATTTTTAAAAAATCTCCCAATTTGTTTATGACTCCAAGCTTGAGTTCTATGTTAAGATGATAATGGATTTGTTGTTTTTGGTAAAGAGAGGCCATTTTGTACCTTGAACTCTGCATCCACACAGAACAGACAAGGGTCGTGCTCAATCAGACGGGATTCTTTGGCTTTGTCCAAGAAACAGACCAGCAGGAGAAGCTTCTTCAGAGTGAAGCGAGACAGCGCCTCCTCGTGGCCTAATTGAGAGATGGTCAACAGTTTACTCTATAAACTAAATCATTTCTTTTTATGCCAGCAGATGTTATCTATCTGCTGAAAATTCAACAGCTGCTGCGATGACACGGTAAAGGAAATTTTTAAAAGCATCAGCATAAGATTAACGTTAGGTCAAGTCATCAAAATGCTGTTAATTGTAAATTATATGGTTCTCTTGCATGCCTCATGTTAAGGTTTGAGTGGGGAAAAAAATCCCAAATATGAAGCTAATAACACAAACAATTTCCCTTTAATTTTAGAGGACAGGAGAATATCCATGAATCTTCCACAGAGCTGACAGAGCACTCCAAAATTACCATCTTTGTAAAGGTTAGGCACTCTGGGGTGTCTGAACTCTGCAGCGATGTCAGGGTTCCACAGCAGCCGCTGAAGGATGAACAAGGCCAGACCCAAGGCGTCACTGTTGCTCTCGAGGGAGATCAACTCCCCGAAGATCGTCTGGGGAAAAGCAGCATAGCAATGGTAAAGGTACAAACAATGATGTTGAAGAAGATAAAGTCTAGTAAAGCAGATGAATGCATTTAACTACCTCAAGACCAATTCGTAGCCACAGGGGATTGTATGACAAAAGCCAGTTCAAGACTTTTTTGCGTTCACCTGAAAGACGACGCACACACACAAAAGTACTTTTAGACCAACAGGTTTTAACTTTAGGGATTTTCATAATAATACAATGCAGAAAAATTATACCTATATCTTTCCAGAGGTGGCGGTCTTTCCGGACGAGAAGCCGCCTTGCCTCCACCTCCAGTTCCAGCCTCTGAATGGCCTTGACCAGGGTTTCAGATGCGAACAACTGACAGGCGGAACGACGGAGCCGGTTTAGTTTCCGTCTCGCTGTGTAAGTGCTGAAAGACATCTCTTCTTTGGTGGGAGCTTTAGGGACGCTGAACTTGTTGTCGGTGCCCATGGCAAGAGACACAGCGTTCACTGGCCAGGACACAAAATACAGAAGGCGAAATTCTTCAGCTCAACTACACTGATGGACATTCAGGCCGAAAAAGTGTTCAGAAAAAAGACACAAAACTAATTCCACTGGAACTGCAATTCTTTACCCAAGCTCCCATTTCAGGAGAGGTGTTTTTATGTGCTTTACCTTTAGCGACTTCAGTGTTAACTTTAAAGTCGTCGGGGGTGAGGACGTAATTGATCCACCACGTGAATCCTCTCTCCTGCTTCTCAATCCACCTCTCGTCATAGAACATGTTCTTGGCAGCAAATGGCATTGGGTGTCTTGGTATGGCTTAAAGAAAAGAGCAGATAAAAGCAAAATGACAACTTTAGAGAAACCAAACAAAAAAAATTAACTGTGTACCACAAGAGCATATTCTGCTGCATCCTTAAATGAAAAACCTGTTTGGTTAGGCTTGATGAAGGCCAGCTTTGACTGTGCCACCGCAACCAATTTTGACATCTTCACAGATGGCGCACCGAACGCCCCCAGAGATGAAGCACCTGTGAGTGAGCGCACAAACATGTAACTAAATGTATGTGGGGAAACTGCAAGTAAGATCCTAAATATACTGTCAAAGAGCTCTCTCAGAACACGCGTGGCTTCATACCTTTTGAGACAACTTTGGGATTTGGTTGTTTCATTTTAGCAGGAACGACAGACCTCCTTGTTCTGAGAGACGACGATGTCACGGAGTGTGCTGATCCTGCAAAGAGAACAAAGCCCAGTCCATTCTAAAAATTCCAGCTTGGCAAAGCATAAAACACAGATTCTGCCAAAGATGATGTCACTGAAGCTGCGATGGCGGTTTGCTGTGAATAAGCGGTTTAGAAAATGTATAAGTGGATGGATGAAAAATGCTTCGACTGACTGATAGAAAAACAATATCCATAACTGACTGACATAAGAATGATTAATTGTTCTTGGATACACTGACTTATCAACAAAAATGGAAGCAGTTGTTCAAAGATAGACAGAATGATGGTGATTTACTGCCATGAATGATGGATGGTTAACAACAATGGTTGACAATCAGAGGGCTGATTTTTTAAAATGAATGAATCGTTAAGAGAGAAAGATGATAACTGCCAGCATGTGAACACAATAAAGATATTTTGTATTATGTACATCTTGAAGACAATATATGTTCAGGATTATTGATGTTTAATAAATAGTTAACATATTGATAGTTAGGAAGATAACCAGTCAATAAATTGACTCAATATATTTAGACAGTAAAATGATGGGAAAGTAATTACTTGGATGAACATTTGATAGCAAATAGACTGAGTGATGGAAGATAAATGGCTGATAGATATTCAAAGAGATCAGTAATAAACATGACACTTAAACAAGCAGTTTATGAGGTTATTGACGGAACAGAAAAATAAAAATAGATACGTCTTGAGAAGGATAGTGGATATCTAAAAGATGTTGATGGATGAGAGGTTATAGATTAATATATAAACAATAGATCAATCTTTAGATGAAAAGTCGCTACTGAGAAATGGATAGTTTGAGAGTGGTGATGTATAATTTATCAGTTTAGATGCCTGAGATTTGAATGAAGAATAGATTTATGCTATAAATGATGGAGAGAAAGATAATCAGATGCACACCGACTGGATTTGTGTCCTTCCAATAAGTTTCTCTCTTTTTGAGGAAGATGAATTTACTCACCGGCTGCTCTCGGCCGCTGTGATGCAATTCTCCTCTCCTGAACTGATCTTGGTGGCTCCGTTTTTCCAACCACTACCCTGCTCCTTTTCACCTGCTCGGGTTTCTCAGCGACATCAATCTTCCCGCCACACTTTAAAAACTCTTCACTCTTTCTTTTGTTGGCCTTTCCTGCCACATGAACGGGAAACAACTCTTCCTGAATGGAGGGAGTTGGCGACTGCTCTGGTATAGATGGTGCTGAGCCCACTGACAGTGGAGGGGTTATGTTAAATGTGGTGGGGGCCGGTACTGAGGAAGGCAGAGAGGTGACTGAGAAAGAGAAGTGAGAAAGAGCCAAGCATGGAGGGGAGGAGACCGGAAAGGTGACAGATGCTGGTGAGGTGCTCGGCCTTCTTGCTGGACTGGAGGAGGTAAACTCTGGGACACCGGGCATCTCATCACACAGGGTCTTGCCCGTCTCCAGCTCTATGACTGGCAGTTCTGGTGTGTCTGGTGGAGAATCACACTGGCTGCGTCCTTCAGAGAGTTCAAGCGTTTTCTCTAAGAGACGCCGTCGGGATTTCTTTACTTTCCTTCCACTAGAAGTGTTTGTCTCTGTGGGTGCTTTGTTCTTAATAACTGTGGCAGATGTAAAAGAGGCCTTTTTTACCTTCTCTTTGACTTCGTCATCTCCTGAAACGACAGTCTTCTTACTAACAAAGAAAGTCAGCCTTTGCTCATTGGAGTCAGGTGGCGCTGGGCTATCAGGCAAGGCTCTGAGGGGATTTGTGTCAGGTCCACAATCGTGGACACTTTTAGATTCCAGTGAATCTGAAAATTCACAGCTGGAACTTCTGTCACAGGGACTGGAGTTAATAACACTTAGGTCAGAGTCTATGAGGGCCAGCGCATCCTTTAAAGAAAGAACAGGACTTCCGGCTGACACACGGGGAGCTTCTTCACCAGCTGACTTTACGGAGGCAGAAAGTGGGCTCTCTGACTCAATATGCGGCATCAACCTCTTAAAGGACTCGGGTGTCCCAATTGGCGACAAAGTCCTGTTGAGCATTCTAGTAAGATCCTTGTTTTCAGGTTTTTCTGCCAGAGTGTTTTGACTGGCAGAAATGTTGCCATAGTCCATGAGCTCTGCACCTGGAACAACTAAGACCACAGGAGATTTCACCTGAAAAGTATGGATCATCTCCTGCTTGGGCAAGGCCTGGGGCTGATGCCTCCGTTTAGAATGTGAAGCCCTCTGGTCCTCTACTTTTGAACAGTAAATGTCAGTCGTGCCGTTTTTTGTTAAGCATCTCTGTCTGGCATATTTTCCGTCATTAATCGAAGCAAGAGGGCTGCGGGGCTTGTCACGTTTATAATGCGGCTTTTGAGACACTTGGAAAGTTTTGTTGGCTGACATTTTCAGTGGGCACTGTGTTTTCTTTTTCCTTGGTGCACTTATTTTTTCCATGTCTCTTTTGTTTTTGATCGTGTCCCATAGGCTTTTCTGAAACACAAAGAAATGTCGAAGATGTAAATAACAAGTATTCTAAGGGATGCACTTTAAAGGCTTTGGTGAGGCTAAAACACAACCATCTGTTCTTAAAGCTTTTTACTATTCTTAAATCTATTTGTGAAAAGACAGAACACGCTTGGTCACCTTTTTCTTTTTAGGGCCTTCTGCTCTCCCCAGCAGAATTGCCTGGTGCTTGAGGACCCCATTGGCATTGAAGATGATGAGCTCCCTTATCCCACCTTCCTCTACTGGAGTCCAGGTTACTGTCAAACTGAATGAGCCCTCAGGCTGCAAACACAGAGCAACACAACAAAACCATATGTCAGTACCTGGACATGACTAAAGAAAACAACGAACCCACTGAATGAAAACCAGTACATTTTCTGTGGATGACAGAAACTCTGATGACATTGTGTTCATCAGAAATGATTAAGTATTTCATTTCAGGTTTCCATCGAGCAACAAGGGGTTCATTATATCAGTTAAAAATAATATATTATGCGAAACATACCTGAATTGTGAAAGTGTTATGATCCACAGAGAAGCCTTTCCGCGATGGACACTTATCAACGGTGACCTCGGCTTCAACATCATCTGTGGGGTTCTCAATTTGCAGAACAACCGACTTCGTAGTTCCCAACTTTACCGTGCCAAATGTGACAAAGGGAGGTTTTGAAAACTGGATCAAGCTCAGAACCGGTGCATCATTCTCCTTGTTAGCTTCATTTTCCCTCACCGGACTGAAGTCCAAGAATCTTCGTCGTGCTGAATTTGCCGTTTCAGCCATTTAAAACACGAAAAGAAACGTAAAAGCAAATTGCATGTTACGAAACTTAAGCTTCTTAAAAAGAAAGTCGAAAAAAAGGGTGCTAAAAGTAGTTTTCCATCTAACGTGGTCCGCCACGAAACGTTATAACATGCTTCCTACAAAAACAGACAAGCAGCCTGCAAAGTTCGAAATTCTCGTGTTGCTTGAACAGCCAATGAAAAGCCAGAAGTAATTGCGTCACGTCCAATGAAAAAAGAGAATAAATTAAATCGCGAGAATGCGAGTGCATGAGCCAATCAGCAAGTGCTGGCATTTTTAAACAGCCAGAATCCACCCCAACGTTCAAAGACGAAAAAATAAGTAGACAGTATCACTTTGATTATTTTTTATCTAAAAGTTTGAAAAAAAGGAGAAAATGTTTAGTTGATAATGTTTGTCAATTCAACTTGCAAATAAAAAGAACGACATTTAAATATAAAAAAAATTCAAGAATTATGCCTGTGGGTGGTTTTGTATAGTTTTGTAAGAGGG